AAAATAATATTGAGAGAAACGAATGAAATGCATTGGTATCAAAAACAGATACATGGAAAATGTTCATTTTATCCCTATACCCATAGTATCTCAATAGTGTATATATTATCTCAATAGTGAATATATGGTATGCAAATTAATGACAAAATACATTATGACACTTTATTCACTACTCCTATGAGGGACATAACGTGTATATGGTCGATCTACATATCGTTGTAAAGCTCTCGAAATCCCCAACAAAATTACGTTTTTCATTTTCACGACCAGCATTTTTGCAACAAAAAAGGCGCCAACAATTGAAGAAATCGAACGTTATTTTCTAAAAATTGCTTTTTTCTTGTGTAAAACGTAAAAAAAAAGGACTTACCGAACGTAACTTTGTGAGCCGCCATGTTGACAATCCATAGGAGGCACTCTCGCGGTAATTCTAACATAACAGTGAGAGGAGTAGGCCAAAAACCACCAAAAATGCAGTAATTTCGCATAATCAATTATAGTCTATAACTATTTATTGAAATGGTTAAAACGATCCGGGTAAAAAACTTTAAATACATCAAAAAAATGAGAATTCCAGTATCAAGTTGGGAATGAGGCTGGTGGGTCAATTGAGGTCATAGAATGGTAATAGCGTGTTTGGCTGGTTCCCACCTCAAGTGTCATGGTGTACCAAGCCACAAGAGGCCGGTAACTAGTAAAGGTTCCGGCATTCTGATTGGTACACCACTTTCTCGTTGCTTGTTCCATTTCCCTTAGTTACCTGACGTCAGCGCTTACGCTCGTGGCCGTTCAGGGGTTTCCTTTTGCTTTCGAAAGTTGGGCGAATAAAAAGAATTGTTTCTTTTGTTATAAATTTGCACAGAACATATCAAATCTGTAAATCTAAGCAGGCAGTATGTATGAGCATGGCTTTATTGTAGCATTACAGAAACGTTTACGCAAAACGAAACTTGGAATGTTTTCAAATTACGTCACCCAGTCGCGTTCCTTCCGGCCGGAAAACCGGCCCAAATGGAACAATATGGCGATTACTAGTTACCTGCGTCCTACCTACCATTCGCAAAGGACGCCGGGAACCAGCGAAATAGCGTGTATGCTAGTTTTTCTTTCAATTTGAAATTGCGCCCTCGTGCGGAGATAAAGTGTATATTGGATGGTACAAAACGCATTGAACTCTGGGATATCACATTTGCCGTGCAGTACATGAGGCTCATCAAGGAAGGTGATTGGCTACAATATAATCAGCTGTACTCTGATTGGCTAATACAATGCAGTACATAAGGCTCATCAAGGAAAGTGATTGGCTACAAAATAATCAGCTGAACTCTGATTGGCTAATACAATGCAGTACATAAGGCTCATCAAGGAAGGTGATTGGCTACAAAATAATCAGCTGTACTCTGATTGGCTGATACAATGCAGTACATAAGGCTCATCAAAGAAAGTGATTGGCTACAAAATAATCAGCTGTACTCTGATTGGCTGATACAATGCAGTACATAAGGCTCATCAAAGAAAGTGATTGGCTACAAAATAATCAGCTATACTATGATTGGCTAATACAATGCAGTACATGACAGCTACAATCCTATTTCCATAGTTTAGGCTTCTCAAAGAATAAATTATTTCTGGATTTTTTATTCACACAAGTAATTAATTATTTACCACGAAAAGT